AAAGATCTGTGCTACCAACCCAGAGGCACCCAGTTCAAATTCACCAGCTGGACCATAGGAGAAAGTCGGGCAGTCTATTCTTGTGTGATTTACAGCCATTGAAAACCCACTAGAAGATCAGCTTTGGGTGTTTTCTAACTCTACAGCGCTAACAGAGGAATGAAGTAAAAAGGCAATGAGAACTCTTTAAAACAGAAAAACCTAAGTAGCAGCTGTCATCCCTTGGGACTGAGAGCACCCAAGGGACAGCCCATTCCCTCCGAGGGCTGATGTTCAGACCTCGTGTTGGTGCTTCCCAGAAGTGCTGCATCAGTGGGGATTACTGGGAATCTGCCCTCCAGGGTGCTTGTGTTAAGTCTTCCACAGAGATACCTAGGTTTGGAACTCGCTGCTAGCTGCTTGGAAGAGTGAAAAGAATCTTAGGGTACATGTTAGCAGACAGCAGACCATTATGAAATTGCTTGAAGAGGAGGAGATGATACTGTCATTGCTGTTAGCTGTTAGATCCCTGGCGAGATCACCCTTAGGAGCCCTTTGAGCTGAATGAATTGGGAATACAGAAAAACCACTTGTTTTCCAGTGTCTTTCTAGTGCCCTCTACTGGAAAAGTCTAACACTAAGCCAGCAGGTAAGGGATAAGTACAGTTCAGCCGTTTTTTTAGATAATGCAAGGATGAGTATATACATTCCTTAGAGCAAAGGGGCAGTCAGTTGATAAATTAGATAGAACTTTGCCCATTTAAAAAAAAAAACTGGGTTGCTGTGTTGGTTGTTTGATTTATAGGAGATACTATTTTAAATGGCTATGTACATTGGAAGTACCTTCCTCGGCACTAACTTACTATTTTTACAGTGTTTTTTGAACATATGATTGTGCTTATGCATTTAATATGAATACGATTATATGCTTTAGAAACTTTACATAGTCTGACTTAAATTCTGAATTTTAAAATTTTAAGTTATTATCCAAAAACTACTGGATCAGCACATCAACAGAGAACTGCCAGAAGTCCAGGCTGGGTTTAGAAGGGGTCGTGGTACTAGAGAGATTGTAGCTGATGTTAGATGGATCTTGGCTGAAAGCAGGGAATACCAGAGGAATGTCTATCTGTGTTTCATTGACTATGCAAAGGCATTTGACTGTGTAG